AGCGAGACCGATGTGAAGTATTTTAAGTGAGTTTTAACATTATTCACTCGTAAACAGGGAAAACCTTGCAGATTTGTGGAAAGTTAAGCTAACTTAGCTAACATAAAGATCAGCATGAATCACATTAGGTAGCCACTTTTTGGTTTCCCGGCGTAGTGTTTCCAGCTCGTTTTGATGTTTGATCTAGCAATGCTTTTTAAGTATAAAAGTAAACATGATGAGCCTAATGGGGTATAGAAAAAGTCATTGAAATCTTTATTTCTTGCTCTTTCAAAATGAAAATAACGCACATTTCAATTATTATTTAAAAGAGTCTGGACTCTGTGAAAATGTAGTCATAATTTGACAATTGTAGGTATGTGTTTTTGTTAACGAGTTGTTCTATGTGGTCTAATGGTTTCACCAATTTGAAAGTGGGTTTTAGACAGACACTGTTAATGTGATGAATTGCAAATAGAAAAATACAAGGCAAATGTTACTGTCTTTAAAAATGATAATAAGTTAATAATGTCTGTGCTACTGTAGGTTTCCCCTGTACAATCCCAGAAAACTGAAGAAATGGCTTCTCAACATGAAGTGGAAGGACTGGACGCCATCTCGCTTCTCAGTGCTGTGCATCGACCACTTTGAGGAACAATGCATCGACAGATCAGGAAAATGTGTGAAACTGCTAGAAGATGCAGTTCCAACCATATTTCCATCCCCTGGCGATGCACAAAAAAGGAAGGTTTGTATGTTGCCAACATATTTTTCAGAACAAGATATTTAAATTCTTTAATTGGCTAGCTGCTTCATCAAAAAAACGTCTTTGTCCTTTCTTGATAATTCTCTAATATATATATATATCATATGTAATTACTGTCCACCTGATGCAGGCTTCCAGCACCCCAAGAAGTAAGAGGAACAAGGTGAGAGCATATTGTATTGACATTTAACTGTAATAAAACATTTGAGCTTTCTTTGACTGAAGTTAAAAATATAAATCAGGGACCTCAATCTCTGAAATCTCTGAAACAGTGTGTGGTTTTCTGCATTGTGAACGCAGCCCCCTGATGTTAAAGCCTCTCACACAAGTCCACCTCAGTCTCCAACAAGGACTCCTGTCAAGGCAAAGACAAGAGTCCAGAGCAAAGAAGCCAGACAGACAGAAGAGCCTGCTGGGTATGTTACTATAGAAAGTGTATTTTATCAAGTTTGTACCCATTTGTATTCTTGCCTTTTTAATGCGTCTTGTTGTCTTGTTTGATATCAGAGACAAAGACCCAAAAAAGACTAATGACAAATGGAGGATTATTGTCGATGAAGGGCTGTTGAAGATAGAGTCATTTCCACATTTCTTCCATGGAGATTATTGCGAACCACGTGTAAGTGATGTTATTATATATCAAATATAATTACAAATCCGTGTTTTAATAATTTTAAAAACAAATATTTTTTCATAGCATAAATCAGGGCATGTATGGTATGACATTAGGCAGATTAAAAGCCTTATGTTGTTGGATATTTACCATAATTATTAAGTTTATTATTATCCATTACTGTTCTTACATTTTTCTAATATGATTATTTTCTATTTTTCACACACACCCTCAGGACATTCAGTGGGCTCCAGATGACAATTTAAGTGTATGTAGTCTTCATGATTTGAAAATGCAATATTTGCCTTTTAAACTTGGACTTCTATATTAAGATGTATTTTAAACAAGTGCTCTTCTGTAGTGTTCACAGACAGCGTGTGAAGATCCCGAAAAGTTGATAGAGGTATGTTACTCTGAGATAATCTGATTGTATGGAAACAAATAAATACAAACTAAATGGATTGGGATTCTTATTGCAATGGCATGTGTGCACGATGTGATGGCAGGTGAAAGAGCCGTGGCAGTGGCTTGGCCTGGATGTCAGGGGTCCGCTGCATCAAACACTGAACGGGCACAAATACATCTTGACTGTGACGGACTACTACTCCAAGTGGGTGGAAGCTGTGCCGATGCAGTCTTGCCTCCCTCCAGATGTGGCAAAGCAAATCGTGGACATCATCGCCCACTTTGGATACCCGTTCAGAATCCTCTCCAGACTGCCTCATGACATAGTCCACAAAGTGAGTACATTGTTGATTGAATTGATACTTTTGATAACCGCCCCTTTTTAGTCATTGTAATTGCCAGACTTGTAAATAGCTTCCATCTCAATATTCAATTCATCTGACATAACCATACTTTTTTGATAGAAGTTCCTGAAAACTAACCAAACATAGGGGCCTTAAATCAGCCCAAAGTCTGTCATTGAAGGTTTCTTTAAAACCACATTTAAGGGATATAGATATAGTGGCATATTGTCTTTGCATAGGATTTATAACCCTTAATAGTCTAATTCTGTTGTTGTTCAGCAATGACATGAACGCTCACAATAGTAAACATGATAATGTTTGTAATCTCTACCACCATCCATCACACTTAATGCAGCTGCTGCATAAGATCTTTTGTTGTTTTCTTTGCTATCAATCCAGCCATGAAGCTTTGACAACAACACCAAGAAAAAAACCTTCTTTGATCAATTACATTTAGACACATGCTAGTGGGACCCTAGCAAGGAGTATGAGCAGACTTTTTAGCTCCCTACAGATATTAGTTATAATTGTATTGGTGCAGTATTGTTTCCTTATCGACCAGTTTCTCACATGTACACTGTGTTAGATCAACAGAGAACTGAAAGATCAGCTGAAGGTCTCCATGGCTCTTGTTGTCTATCATCAGCAGACGGGCACTTTGGATTTGGTCACACAGCAGATGATTGACAGGTCTGTACTTTACATACAGATCTTATTTGCTCTCTTATTACTATATCTGTATTTCTTTGGTGCATTTCAGAGGTCCAAATGTATGTGTCATGGCCACATTAAGGTCACTCCTGGAAATGAAATGTTTCTTATTATTCCAACATGTTTTCTTTTTGCTGCTCCCTAACAGGATGGTAAGTGATCTAATAGAGGAACATGCGCCCGACTGGGATGTCTATCTGCCTGCCAAGGTTTTCAGTCTGTGTTTCAAAGAGCATTCAAAAACAAAGGAGAGACCCTTTTCAGTGCTCTGCTGTAAGGGACCAGAGCCTGTTCATTCCCCCAGAGGACTGGATGTAAGTGCAGGTTCTAAGCATTTGACTTGTCTATGATAAATACACACACGCTGTAAAATGACTCTTGTTTTCTTGCCTGTTTGTTCCACAGTATGTTTACTCCAAGATCCGGGAGAGTGCTTTTGTTGTGAGATAAATATTTCAAGTTTATTTGGTGAGTTGAATACATTTTCAAACGTTTATGTGTCCAAATACATACCACATTTTTATATAATATTAAGAAAATGCTGGTGTACTGGTGAATCATTTTGGCATTTTTTAAGGTGTTATCCAGAAAGAGAAAGTCAATGAATTTGAAAACATTCTAAGACAAGTTTGAGGATATTAGGGTATTTTTTAACAGTTTACTTTGATGTTACCAATTGTTTCTATTATTGTTTTACAGGTCAATTGATGTGGAAGGAAATCGGTTGGTGTCATTAACAAAGCGGGGAAGAAGGTTATTTTATGACCGATCAAGAACTGTCATGGAAATGTGCTAGATTTCTGTTGGTGATGTTAGTTTGAGTCTTGTAGATAAAACAATGATTCACGTCAAGATTCTGTGAGTTGGCCCTTCTGTTACATAAGCTCCTAAATCTTCTTGAGCAACTGTGAGACAGCTGGAGTCCAGTTATTTTGGGTTGGAACATTTTAGGCCTCTTTGCCTTATTGTTTGTTGTTTATGTATGTAAAATGTAAAACATGTATAATAACTTTAAATGAGAATTGTGTTGACTAAGTGGCATTTTGCAAAATGAGACTACGAAAAAAATACTCCTGCGTAGTCAATGTGTTTTTGAAATAAATCAACTTTTCAGCAGTCAGCTTTACGTGTTAACATGAAAAAGCTTTTACACAAATAAGAAATCTTTTGGACAAAAAAACGAAAACACCATCTAGGTTTCAGGAGCATGTTTCAAGTGACACATTTTCTAGTATGCCCATTCTATTTTATTTAGTTTATAAATTCTAATTGTTTTTATTTTTAAAACCACCTTTCGAAGTAGTATTTACCCGTTTGTGTAGGTTTTTAAATGATTGTAATTCTTTCTGTATCACACTTTGATGCAGCCTCTTATCTGCCAACCAGATGTCATTACAGAAAAACAGACCTCTTTCACATTTTGTCACACCTTGCTTAATTTGTTATTCTCAGCTGCTGTCAGTTCAGCTGTCACACTCACTGCAGTGACAGCTGCCTCGGGCTGAGAGGAGGAAGTTTAGTTCTTCCACATGAAGAAATGCAACCAGTTAAAATAAACACCTGTTTGTTTCACTAGGGAGGGAGACATGCTGAAGGCTTATCATTGGTTTGATGATGAAGCTCTGTTGTCTCCATATATAGCTTCATTTCTTTCTTGAGACATGAAAGTGGGGTTTTACTTTAGCAAATGTACTTGCATGTAAAACTGAACAACAATATATAATATGAATTTGAAAGTACAATTGTGTCGAACTTTAAAAACCACAAATCACATTTCTAGTATCACAGATAAATAATAAATACATATCTTTATTGAATTTAGTAGAAAATAAATAAATATGCCTTTGATTTGTTTGAATGTGAAATAACAACACCCCATTCCTTTGAATATAAAATAAGAAGCTGGGAAATAGGATATATAAATCCCCTAAATTAATGTGGAATTATACACACACATTATAAAAGTCCTTTGAAAACCTTTTTGTTTGAAAATCGATTTCTTATTCAACCACGTTATCTCATGTCTATGTTTCTATGCATTTATTTAGAAACTCAGTGCCTTTTTTTAAATGTATTCCAGCATATATTTCTAAAGAATCGTTTTATTTAAATATTAAATAAAATCCAAAATAACACTAGAATAAGAGGGTTAAAGTGCCGCCACCTGCTGGTTGGTGTTGGAGTTGTTCTGTCTGCTGTGATCTCAGTAGTCGCTGTGCGGTGGAGGCAGTTTTTTTTTCCTGTGTGCAACCAACCGCAAGAAATGGTGAGTGAGGAAAACAGATACAGCTCACAGTGTAATTGCCTGTTGACTAAACAAACCTTACTTTAATTTCTCATTTAGACATTGTCTGAGTTTAAAGATACATGCTGACAGTTGGTAAACTAAGCCTGTCTTATAAAACGGTCCTCCTAAAGCTGATGCCTTTGTTTAGCTAACGCTTGCTGGCATGAGTTAGCTTCCTTACATTGGTTAACGTCAACATTGTAGCTCAGATAGCTTCGACTGGGCTTTGCAATGCTAGAATTAATATCAAGGAACGCATAGCAGGGTCCAATACAAATGGCATATATATTAGCATTGTTTTTAAAAAGTGACAGCTCAAACAACAAACTTTGCTTTTGATGAAATGGCTAGCTTACCATGAAGAAGCTAACTAGCTGAAGTTGACAGGGACGATAGATGCTGTAGCTCAGCTAACGTTGTTATCTACAAAACGACATATATTAAAATAAACTTGATGTCAACATTTACATGTATGCATAAAAGTGTGTTCAGTGGTAACTTTTCTATCGAGGAAGCTAAAGTACTGCAGCTAACAGTTGGTTTACCGACCACCTTAGTAGCCAGAGCTAAGCTAACCTAGCTCGTTTTGACGCTAGCTAGCAGCTGCTATGGCCAGTCTTTTTGATCATTTTATCGAAGTACACTATTTGCATTGATATGCACAATAACTTGACTACTTTTTAAAATTGTACTTTTATCTAGTCAGAATGAAAATAAAAGACATCCACAACAACATTCTTATCAGTATAAATGGTATTTCAAGACATAGATCTACAACTTTGATTGTAGTAGTTAACATTTAATTTAAGAAACCAGTTTAAAACCTTAGAAAGTGTAAGTTGCCAAGAATAATTAACTAAATAACCAAACTGCTGTCCCTGCCAGCTTCACTACAACTTCCATACATTTACATATGTTTACTGATTTTTCTGAACACCGATAATGGTAAAATAAGTTTTGCATTTTATTTCCCCGAGTTTAACAAATAACCACAGAGCAATATCTTCAGTTTGGCACAATCTCATGTTTGTGTTAAAGACAATGAAACAGTCTATCAACCTACTGTAAACCATAAGCAAATAAAGTAGATAATAACATGCCAATAACTCAGGCTAAACTCCAAAATCTTCACCTCTACTACTACCTATATGTTATTAATGCCAGGGAGAAGGTTTTGTAACAGTTGCACCATATTAGAAAATGAATAAACACATATTTATACAAACATAGGAAGTTGAAGCAAAAATGTTACATTCATAAAAAATAAGCTATCTGCTACTCAAACTGTTTGGTATTAGTACTTTTACATAACTTAAGGGTTTGGGTACTTCTACCATTATTGCATGTCATTGTCATTATATGATTTAGCATCACATGTCCAACTTGTTATGTTAAAGTATAATGCCTTAGTTTTTTCACAGCTTGTCTGAAACACCAGTATGACCTACATTTTTCAGTTCATATCACTTTATGACTAATAATCTGCAATATACAGAGACTAGAGAACATTCATAAAGATGTTGCTTCATGAAATGACTCGGATAAACCAGTTTAACTTCAGGATGTAACGTTCCTAATCGGCTTTGGTTTTATTGATGTTCGTGCTGGAATATTTTTAAAAAAAGTAAAGAATACACCTTGAAGTCATCAGTGCCTCATGTCCAGTTTTTCCTCTGTGACTTTTCTTTCAGGATGTGTTTCTTATGATCCGACGTAACAAGACAACCATCTTCACAGATGCCAAAGAGTCAACCACAGTCTATGAACTCAAGCGCATTGTGGAAGGCGTTTTAAAGAGGCCACCTGAAGATCAGAAACTTTACAAGGTAAAAGACCTGTCCTTGATAGGGAAATGTTAGTTAGTGGACCACTTTCAAGTTCCATTGTCATATTTGTCAGTGAATTGAACATATTCAGCCTTCTTACTTTTAGACAGACAAAACAACCATATTAAAACGTCGCTTTTGGCTATGAGATACTTTTAATGGGATCTTTTTAAAGCATGTATGTCTGTATTTAATATATATGCAATGTTACAATTCAATGAATGAACTGCTACTGTATATGATCATATTTTTTTATCAATGTGATGAATTGCATCAATTTGTTGGGTTCACTATATGAATAAAAACAGAGATACCTTTCTAACTATTTTAGATATCACTGCACTGTCAGTCCTAGATCTCTTCAGATGCCTTGAACTCAATCTTTGTAAAGGCTGTTACTTTATACTGTGTGACTCACTGTGTTAAATATAAAGTGAATCAAGCTCTACACTACCATTTTCTTTACCAGGATGACGTGATGCTCAATGACAGTCAAACTCTTGGGAACTGTGGCTTTACAAATCAAACAGCCCGACCTCAGGCCCCAGCAACGGTGGGATTAGCCTTCCGTCTGAGTGGTAAGTAGTGTAGCCTTTAATCGCCCCCATGTTAAAACATTTTCAGGTAGTTTTGTTATTTAAATACCATCAATTATTTTGTTTTTTTGTGTGCCCTGGTTTACTCCGTTTTGTAAACTCTTTCTCTCTTTTCACCGTTGTCACTTTCTGTCATTCTCCCAGATGATTCATTTGAGCAGCTGAGGCTCGAGTCTTTCTCCACTCCCCCAGAGCTCCCTGACGTCATGAAGCCCCAGGACTCGGGCAGCACAGCCAACGAGCAGGCTGTACAGTGAGGGAGGGGGCAGGAAGACCAAAGGGACACACGGGGGTCGGAGGGAGAATGCACGGATTGGAGGGAGGGTAGAATTTTGGGAAGTGATGCTTCCACGGGTGAGTTTTACCATGCCGACAACAGATCTTCAGCTGGGCATAAACAGTTACAAACACGGATACCCCTTGTTGTAAATGTGAGGGTGGGTGCTTCAAAGTGGTTTATTTGTCCTGAAATCGGTGAACGCATGCTAGATAAATTGATAATTTCACACAAGACCCTTCAGATTCCTGGAGGGCTTGTCACAACACTGTCAGTCACCCATGGGATTGGTAACGACTGAACATAAGAAATTGTACCTCGTATTTAATTCATTCTAGTCTTTATTTGGGGTAAGGTTATTGCTGCCTTACTTGTGTTTTTTATTTTGCTGGCTTAAACGTTGGAGTTGATGAGGTGTGACATGTTTAGGCTTTATGTTTGTGTGTTTCTTTATTAAACTATTACTAGGATTTAACATGTTTTTGGTCTTTGGCCTGGATATGTGTTGCAACAATAGCTTGGATTTTGTGAATTTCTAAGTTACCATCTGTATTTCAAAAACAACCATAGTAATCTGAAATAAAATAGATTAACTTGTTGGCAGGAGATCTGGCATTTAAGATGAGCATTTTCCAGGTTCTTTACCAATCAGTAGTTGTAGCTGCTCACAGAAGTTACTGAGACTGAATGCACTCATTGGTATTTACAACACATGTTACGCTGGCATGGACCTGGTGTTGAATGTGAAGTTCGACAGGCAGCAATCAAAAATAAATTAAGAGTGATTTTTTTTTACCTTACCAATTTCCTCTCCAATGTTTATTGCAGCTGATGACATCTTAGAGATGTTGATGAGATCTTGACTTTAATCAGTGGGGCAAACCGTTTTAATTGAACAGGAAGTTTGTCATGTGCAAAGTTATGAACCGTGCCTGTGAATAGCTGGCTGCACATCTGACTCTGCATTGTACCAGAATCCCTTCCTATTAAGGTTCAGTTCATGCTGCAACTTGTGTTGTATTATACCTGATTACCTTATTTCTTATAGTTTTCCTGAAGTTAAAAGGGGAATTATTATCTGCACATTGAATGAAATCAAAAAATCACATAAAAAGCTGTATAATCAAATTTAAATATAACACTGGGTCTTGTGATCTAGAAAACTACACTTAAAGAAACAACTAAAACCCTCTATTAGTTACAACAGGAAATTACATTCTGACCGTGGGTTGTTGAATAACATGGTTGACATTAACATTTGCAAGTGGAGGCTGTTAAACAGTAGGACATGATCAAAGTTGCACTTGTAAATGATTTCAACATTAAAACATCTGTTTTTCACCCCTGTGCACTGTGGTGTTTTGTATACAGTCCAAGGTAAACACAAGATAGTTATAGATATTGAATTATTTTGTGCCAACTAAAAATAATTATTGATTTTGCTTTACATTTTATCATACAGTGTTTACTTGCAGTGCTAAGAGTCAGCTTCATATGCAATAACATAAGCTATCACAGAAGATAATGGCAAGGTAATGAGTTGAACACATACTGTAACTATATTCAATAAGATGGGATGGCATTTACTATGACTTGCTTTCTCAGTCACTTCATAAATTGGTTAATAAAACAATACACTTTTAACATATACCACTTTGCAAACAATGTTGTTAGTTAAGTTCATTCCCATAGGTACTGTACTTTTTCATAAATGAAATGTGCTTGAGTTAAACCTCACTAACATGTTTCAAAGAGAAAATTGTATTATTTAGATAGACATACTTACTTACTGTATGTTTTGATTTAATTTTAAAACGTGTTTATCCCTTGACATTTGCCTTCAGATACATTAACCTGTGTATATGTTTATTTTTACTTTGTGTATTGTTGTTAATGATTGAAAACAAGTTTCCGAATTTTCCGAAAGCACTTGAAGGCAGCATACTGAACTTTATTGAACACATGAAGGCAACGTCCGTTAGCTAGCAGTAGCAGGCTAGTTTAGCATTCTGCTAGCCTCGGTGATCAGCGAGTCCTAGCTATGCAACTACTAACAACTTAGTTGGTTTAACTAACGTGTCCTATACATGGGCAAAAAAGAGTACCCATGACTTAACAAAGGATAGGCCAACATAATACAACAACAAATGGAGGAGTATGTTTTATCTGCGGGCCGGGCCGTGCTGGACATGGTGGAGCGGGAGTGGCAGCCCCTGTCCCCGGGCGAGCTGGAGCAGCGGCTGGACCAGGCGGTGGAGGGGGTCCTGGAAGCTGAGATGATGGCGACACTTAAAACTCAGTCTCCTACTGCTTTATACGTACATTCATTGCAGAGTCAAACTAATGTGCAGCCCGAAGATTTGCAGACGACAACATTGTGCAGCAGTCCCGCGGAGGAAGAGTACCCGGAGGAAGCTTTGGAGGCTTCAGACGGTGCTGCAGTCCAGGTATCAGTCTGTGTTAGGTGATACGAACACACTTACTGTTAAAATAAGTTTCTGTCAAAAGGGGTAACATGATTTAACTTATCTGCTGTGCACTAATCTGATATTCTCACGTGTTTTTCTTCGAACAAGTGTACACAGACATTGTAAGACCCCAGGGTTGACACAACACTCAAGGCTACAGTGTATTCAAATAAGATACACATTAAATGCACATCAAACTAGCACAATTCAATGTTACCAACTTTACCTAAAAAGGCAGTTTAAAGCAAATATTTTTGTTGTGGTTAACAGGTCAAACTTTTATTTTACTTTCAATATTATTATTCCAATTACGACAACAATAATACAAAAGTTTGATCATATTCATATATATCCTTATCTTATATGTTTTTGATGTTTGTTGAAGCCCACTGAGTTTACGTTTGTCATTTGAAATGTATCATACAAAAACTTTTTGCGACATTTCACACCAAATGTTTACATTGCCTGTCTTTGGCCTCATGTTTCTTTCGAGCTGCCCCTTCTTTCAAACCATTAAAGAGACCAATATATTTGTTTATTTTTCTTGCTGTTAGACTATGGAGATACACTCTTTCTTGCAACAATAAATTAGTTAGTGAATGCATTATGATACGAAAAAATGTCGCCTGAAATACCTTGAATCAGTGTCTGACTGATACTGGAACATAATCTTCTTTTTTCCCCCCCTTCTATCAGTACATCACAGACCTGCTTCAGAGCTCCAAATCCAGGGCTCGAATGGCAGGACGGGCTCGCTTGTCCCTGTCCAACACTGTCCAGCTGTCCCTCACTCTGCTCTCTGAGCGAGTCAGCTACCGCTCTGTGTCCCGCCTCTTCCACCTGGAGAAAGGAAACATCCACAGGACCTTCTTTTCTTTCTGTGAGCGCATCAACACACTGGAAGAGAGGCAAATCAGATGGCCAGTCGGTGGGTTGACTTCAATGTTGTCTGTGGGACATGATCAGTGAAGTGTCAATGATTTAAGAGTAGTTTGAAAATAATAATATTGATGGTATTTCCCCGTTTTTCTCAAGGCATAGAAGCTGTAGAAGCCCTTTTCCCACTTTGCATACAAGAGATAGAGCAGCAGCAAAGTCTCCCTCAGGTCCTGGGAGTGTTGGGACACACCCGCATCCCCATCCGCCTGCCTATAGGGAAACACGATGTGGAGAGCACAATGCCTGAGGTGAAGAGGATGAAGGAGGAGGCTCATCCCGACTCCTGGCTCAACCTTCAATTCGTATGTGACCGTAAGGGCCGGTTCCTACACTGCACAATCAGTAAAGGGTCGAACATGGACATGGGCAACGCTCTGAAAGACAAACTCAAACAGCATCCTGATCTGATGCCCCCTGGCTCCTGCCTCTTGGCCAGAGCTGGCTATCCGCTCACAGCTCAGATTTTAACTCCATATTTAGGGAATCAGGGACCCAGAGAGGAGCTCTTTGACAAGAATCTGGAGGAGCATTTTCACATCCTAGACCAAGCTGTTGCCAACCTGAAAGCCAGATTTCAAAGGCTCAAGTATCTGGATATAGGAAACTATGATCGAGCGAGAGCTGTCGTGCTAACAGCTTGTGTCTTGCACAATGTATTTTTGGACATGGGACAAGTGATTCAAGGAGACGTTGAGAAAGAGGAAGACACAACCCCAGAGGAAGATGGGGAGGTAGATGAAGAAGGTGCACAAAGACGTGACACCATCTCAGATTTGTTGTTTAAAAACGTTGGTTCTGTAAACACATGTGATGATATCTAGGGGAAGACTTTCAGAATGTTTATGCTGCACGGATGTCACATAAATGTATAAATAGTAAAACGACCTTAAAGACATCAAAACGGAATGAAAATGTAATCTCACAACAACAAAAAAGGACTTATACCAGACAAAAAAAACTGAGTGTCAAATTTTTTTTCTTCTAAGGAACCAAGGGATAAATCCTTAAACAATGATGAACAAAACACATCAGAAACCTATTGGAATATATTTTTGTTTTACAAAATGTTTGCTTTGCCTTAGAGCAGATCTTGTCTGCAATGAGACTGAGGGCCACAGCTCCCTTCGACACAGTTTACATTTAACTTTACACAGCTCTTCTTCATATCAGACCCTCCTGCTTTAAAGTTGATCAGAAATGCCACAGTGTGTTTCTCACTTTGACCACTAGTTGGCAAACAAGTTCAACAATCCACTTTCTACTTGATCAGGCTCATAGCCAAGACAGACAAAACATTTGCAAAGGCAGTATTTATGGCAGGACTCTTTATTAGAATACTCTACATTCTTAATGTGTTCACACTGGCTGATAAAGTGTATCCTATAAATACAATAACAGTACAAGCATGTCTATGAATACTATAGTTGTTATCGTTACCTCTATTAGGAAAGATGATCAGTTTAACTAACTATGGTTCCAGAGTCAAATGTGAGTATGAAGAGGTCTTATTTTGACTTCCCTTGAACAATAATCATAATCCTGCTGTGATTATTTCCACTTCAGTTTGTTCATTAGCACCATGTATTAAAGCAGACTAAAAATGTTCTACTCTTGCATAGGTTGTTGACATTAAATATCAATAACTGGAACAGTGATAATGGTACAATAACTCGCTCTTATCTTTTAGGAAAAAAATAAGTATAAATAACATCTAATAGGACATAAAAAAGGACAACTTTGAGGCGGCTTGTGATCTGCTTGCAGTAGAATCGAGAGCTGTCCAGGGTATATTTCGTGGGTCTGTGTCTCATGTCTCATCTTCTGGTGTCAGGTTGAAATGTGCAGAAGTCAGACCTATTCCTAAAATTGTGGGACTTGCCGGGGAGCTTACCTTTTAAAGCTGGCGCCCCATGTACAGAGGCTAAGGCTTAGTGCAAAGACTGCTGCATGTCATCTCAACCTATCCTGGTTAAATAAAGGTAAGATAAAATAAAAATAAAATCCTTCCCCAACTTTCCTTTCCGTCCTTGGCGTCGGCTATCGATTAAAGGCGAAAACAGCCAAAATAATATTTGAAAAAATCTACACATTCTTCAAACTGTAACATTTTGCCAAAACGATTATTCTATGAGATAAAAGTGTTACATTTACGAGGAGAAAAGCACAAACTTTCACAAATAAATGTTTCTATTCTCCCCCAGCTCTGTAATTATTATCTATTGTGAATCGTAAAAATTGCCCTAATTTGCCTTTGCCTTTCTTGGTGCATTGTCAAACGTCTTTTTTGATAAGAGCAACAACTTTTGGGGTTTAGTGTCCATCCTTTGACATCTGCATGCTGTTCTTCTCAGCCAGGCTGGAGATAGCCTGGGCCAGGTTGTTAATAGCCTCTATCTTCCTCTCCTCCAGGGCTTTCTGCTGAGCCCACATGTTCATCTTCCTCTCTTGCAGCTCCATATAAAGCTGCAGGACGTCTTGTGGCGGCCGGGCCGAGCAGGGAGCAGCTGATGTAGCAGGAGGTGTAGGGAGGATTGGGGTAAACCTCTTGCTGGCTATGGCATTGCCCACTCTGGTCCCACTGAGCTTTGCCCTTCGCTGGGCTTCGACCTCCTCCCTGCTCTTACCCAGGACCTCGTGCATGGCCTTGAAAAACTCCCAGTGGACGCTGTTCACCCCCAGCCTTTTTGCCCTCTCAGCATTCTTCCTGTAAGTTGCCAGCAAGTTTCTCCACTTGAGGTCACATTCATAGGCCTTCACTGTGACATTCGTTACTTCTGACTCCCGCAGTTTGGTGATCACTTTCTCTGCCACCATCTCCCAAAGTTTCTTTTTCTTGCACACTGGCTGATCAAAAGCCTGGTCCATTTCAAGTCTGGTGTTGACAAGGTGCCATGTAGCCTGCAGGGTCCATATAAATTCTAGAGAGGAAAACAAACATATAACATGTTTTTAAGTTACATCTACACCAATACTGTACTTTGCACTGGAGTATTTTCATTGTATGCAACTTCATACTTTAATTCCACTACATTTCATAGGTAAACCTTTTAGGTTTAACTTTATAAAAGGTGTCTGGCAGCTTAAGTAACTTTTAGATTTGAGGTTTTTCATCCCCTTTCCTTTCAGTGATTTGCACAGGCCAGAAACCATACAAGCATATGATAATTGTATAGTATGATATATTTTTCTACCCAACTACTATCAGCATAAGTATCCATATAACTGAATAATTACCTCCCAAACGTTTCATACTTTAAATGTAGTTAACAGATAAAACTTGCTTTACAAATACTTATTACTTACTTTTGTAAGGTTTTAGCATGGGTTTTACTTGTATTGAAGGATGTGAACCGTGCAGTATTAGTACTTTCACCCAAGTATTCTGATCTGAATTTCTTCTTTAATTTGTTGACAAAATATATAACTTTGCATTTAACCTCCTTATCATAGAATGTATGAATATAGAGACCCTTAACATTAACAGTTTTCCCCCTGTGTTTAAAAAAAATGAATCATTTTTATTTTACACAACCTGTCTGATGGAAACAACTATTTGAGGACACAAGTTAATGGATAACTTTCAGTTTCTTTAGTGTCACTGACAGTATATAGATCATGGTTTATGACAATAATAATAATCATAGATTAGTGCGCATTCATCAGGCCCTCCTCGCTGCATGCGATGACTGGATGAAACATTTTAAACTTCACCATGTAACGTTACTAACCAGCTTTGGCTTTATCGATGTCCACGCTACACACGACAGTTTCCTTTCCTTCAACTTCAGTACTGTGTATCACAATTGTCTCGAGTACCTCCATGGAGTTAATACTACAGAACTCAATGTATTAATCTGTAATTACCGTGGCATTTAACAACATTTCAGAAGCACCGATGCATCGCGTAAAACGATGACAATAACAACGTCACTTAGCCGCTTGGGACGTGTAGTTCGTTCTAGTGGCCATAAACGGGCTTCTAATGTTTATAGTGTATCAACTAAACTACAATCCCTAAACGCTGCGAACTGTTCAACACCGTCAACGCTTTATCACCGCTATGGGTAGTGTAGTTTTCAAAGAGAGGAAATGCATTGGGTGATTTTAAATGCAGCTTGATTTAAACTACATATCCCAGCGTATATCTAACTGGCCCACCTCTTCACTCCCTGCTCTCTTCCGCTACCGCCCCTGTTTTGTTGTTTGGCTAAAGATGGCGTTAGCGGCTAACACAGGCGATTGCATTTTGTTTCACAAAAACTATTCGGCCAGTGGTAACAGCACATTGATCAATTAGAGCTTTATTCCGTCATTTCATATGTAAAAATATGTTACATTGAGATGATACACGTATATCACGTAGAATAACGCTTGTTCGGCCTTCCCACGATGTAGGCCTGTTTTTAGGGAGGGGACCGAAGCTGGTGGAACTCCATCTCCCATCAGCGATTGCGGCGTCAGGTGGTACACATTTACTTTTTCATGGTATCTGTAGTTTATTGACACCAGAATGTTGTTTTTTGTGGAAACTTTTGAAACGTGAATGAAGTCATTAAGAGCACACATTCATTAGTTGAGTAAAAAACTTAAACGTTTTTAAGTAAACGGACATGTTATTTTATTTCTCTATTTCACTGGAAGCGTTCAATGATGCTCCACAATGTGTTTAAAATCTGTCTAAACTGAGACGAGAAATATTAAGATAACTGAACCGGGGACTATGGCTGCATCACCTGTTCAAATGGACTGCAATCAGTCAAGAGCTCCTTCCAGAGACCAGAGATCACCAGAGTCTTCTTTGACCTGGTGCTTGGCTCACCTCTGCTGCAAACCCGGATCAGGAGCTGAACACCACAGGCATGGCAACGGTGACTCAGGCGGTGGCAGAGAGGGGGACAAAAGGATCAGAGCCTCTCAGTGGAGAGCCCTGGTTGCAATCCGGACTCAGCACATTAAGGGGGACAAGGCTGGCATTGCCAGATTCAGAACTCAAGGTGGTCTCAGACCCCTGCTGGAGCTGCTCAAACACCCAGAGTGCTCCAGGAAACCCCTTGACCTGGCTCTGAGCATCCTGGCAAACTGCTGCACTGAGCTGCTAACACGCATAGAGGTAAGGAATAACAGAGAGGCTATTTTTCATTTTACCAGGATAGGTCTCACTGAGATTACAAATATATTTTCCAAGAGAGTCCTTGTATTGAACAGTGTTAAAATAATTATTCAGATCCATCCTTTCCAGATAACATTTATTCAAAAATTACCACTAAAATGTACTTGAAGCAATGGTATATCTGCTCATTGTGCGGTAAAATGTTTCCTGTCAGTTTTTTTGACTATTATACAGAATATAATGTTTTGGATTCTTACTGCTGCTGCAATGTGCACTTAGAATATCACTTCTGTAGATGTTTAAAGTTGTGATTATTTTAATTTTATAGTTGGATTATGAAGTTCCAATGGAAATATTCAAGATGCACCACTTATATTAAACATTATATTTATAAAACCGCCCAGCGAAATTCTTAACTTTTTGAATGTTTTTCTCAGGTTCGTAAGCTTGATGGAATAAATATTGTAGGTAAGTGGTCATTTACATTCTTGTACGGACATTTGATCTCAGAATTAGGACTCTTTAAGGCTTGCAATCATTTGCACATAATAAAATGCCAACTCTTCTTGACTGTCTTAGTGGAGATCCTGAAGGAAAATATGGCCCTGGAGACCGTCCAGAACAGGGCAGCCCGGGCTTTGGGAAACTTGGCCATGGATGCTCAGAGCTCTGCACTCATCCACTCTGCAGGTTAGTCTAAATGTCAAATTTAACAAACAAAGCAATTTTATACGGAAAAGGTGTTGGGCAATTATATCAGTATTTGTGTTGCTGTAGTTACAGCTTTACACCCAGAGAGCATGTGTCCAAAAGGACGTGCATCTTACATTTTTATTTTTTATTATGTATTTATTTCAACAAGGACCATGCATACATTACATTAATCTCATACAAGAGAAGAGATTAATTAAAGCCAGATTTGAGCTAATAGCTCATTTCCATCTGCAGTCCTTTTAAGATTTAATAGTGTAATTGGTTTGGTTCTCATCATGTTACCAGATTGAACTCGCGTACTCACTAACTGTTACTATTCTCATTTAATTGGTTAATAACTCATGTAATTGTAAGATGTTACATATTTCACTTTCACATTGTAGATGTTTCCCTCTTGGCTAGTGGGATACCACTCAATTAATTATATTAATTGGTAGTTAGATATTTATACTGGAAAATAAATTGTTGTTATGAGGCCAATAAAAGAACAGTGCTATTTATTTATTTATTTATTTATTAGTAAATTGGCAAAAATGAGAAAGGTAAATGATTTTCTGTCAGATTAACATCCATTTTATTTTTTTATTTGTGTTCCACAGGTGGGGTTCCTCTTCTCCTCCTCTGTGTGTCTCTCTCTTCTGGCCCGTCCTCCCCCACTGATGCTCCGCCCAAAGAGCCCTGTCCTAAACTGGAGTGCGCTCAGTCTGCTGCTCGGGCTCTCCTCTACCTCTCAGACACGCCCTCTAACCGCCTGTCGCTGCTCACCCAGGGGACCTTATCCTCTCTCGCCCCCCTCATCGCTCCAGAATATCCCCTGGCGCTGAGACAGGCGGTGCTCAAGACACTCCACGAGCTGACTCGTGGCTGTGGGGTTGAATGTGCCAGGGAGGCGTCCCGCTCTGGAGTCCTCACTCAGCTTGGTGTCATGGCGTCGGGGGAGTCAGGTAAACCTTTTGAGGAGCTGGCACTGAAATCCCTCGCCAACCTGTGCGCCCAAGGCTGCCTGCGCCCTCTGGTGGGGTCACTGGGGGTCATTCAGAAGTTCACTGAGGAGGTGAAGAGGGACCCTCTGAAGTCTGGAGTCTTCCTTAAGGCGCTGTGCTTGTGCTGCAAGGAGGCGGTAAACCGGGCCAAGGTGAAGGAGAGCGGTGGACTGGAGGTGCTGATTGGCTTTCTGGCTGCGCATCAGGGTCACCCCCTCTCCAGATTCACCATCCTTGCCTGTGTAGACTTTGTTTTTGATGAGTCTGCTATGGAGCAGCTGCAGGAGTTGGGACTGGTCCCTCTGCTTGTTGCACGACTGGTGGAGATCACCAGAGGCGAGGAACAATCTGATGAGAAGATGGATGTGAGCCTCTCCGCCAGCATGTCTCCCGCTGAGCTCCTGCCCTCGTCTTGTTTTGAATCCTTTGACTTTCCTTCTCCTGAGGGCTGCAAGAAGGAGGAAGCTGGAAAGGAGCTATGTTCATCAAGCTTTTTAAGTCTCAGGTATGGTCTATTAAATGTCTTTTTCTATTTTCTCTGAATTTCATTCTACTATTTGCTATTGTTTATCAAGATTCAATAGATTTAAAGGTCTATTGTCCTTAGATATACACAACTACGGTGTAAATATGTAATGTGTGAAAAACACATACACAATTACCTGTATGTATTGATTTTCTTTTTTAGGAGAAATATTCAAAGGTCAATTTGAACAGCCCTAATGCTTGTTTTCTGTCTTCAGGTCCTGGTTGGTGTCTGAGGGTTTGATCTCCTCGGAGGGCGACCTGCTCGATTCGTCTGGAGTTGAAGGGGAATGGGGGAGTCTTCAGATCCCACCCTCTTCATCACCTCAAACCTCCTCCCCAAACCCTGACTCCCTTTCCTCTCTTAAAAACTCTTCTCCATCCAACCCTACTGCCTTTTCCACTTTTAAAAAAGCTGCACAGCCTTCACCCGTGTCCTCTTCAGCCCATCCCCAGCTGTCTTCCTCCTCTAAAATCACTGATCCGCCGCCTTCTAGTCCTCAATCCTCGAATGCGCTCACAGCCCAAACCCAGCCCAGTTCCACTCTCTCCTCCCCCACTAAAACGCCCCAAACACCCGTCTCTCCGTCAAAGTTATTCTCCCCTCACAGAAGGAGGCAGCGCGTTAATTCAGCCGCTTGTTTAACTAAAGTAACTCTTGATACCCCTCCCTCTGTGCCCCGCACCATGGCTTACCACCCCTACCACCCGGAGCCCTGGACCCCTGAGTCGCCCATCCTGCTGCTGCTGTCACGCTTTTCCCACTCCACTGACCCGAGTGCTGCTCTGATCAGCCCGGGCGTCATGTCCGGCCTGCTCTACTACCTCACCCAGCACCAGGACCCCAGCAGCAGGTGCTTCCGGATGCTGTGCCGGCTGAGCTGCAACCCAAATTGTCTGCAGGCGCTGGTCCGAACTGGATCTGTAGCTCTCATTCATCACCATCTCTGCCAGAGGGGGGGAGGATTCGAGGGAGGGAAGAGGCAGACGGAACGAGTGAAAGCTAAAGTCAAACAACTCGGTAAGATAAAGATGTTACCCAGATGAGTTATCTGCAACCTGCAGCACTGTAACTTTAGAACAGTTAAGAGGAAATATTTGACATATGAACCTTATGCCCCTCTAAAATATAATTGAAAGCATCACCTATGTGTATGCTTATTGCCTTGTGAAGTTATACATAATTCACATGTATTATATTGTATTACTTGTAGCATTATGTATGTTATTCGTTAGATCATTCAACTTAAACATCATTCAAGTTTTCTCTGACTAGGGATGCACCCATCCATCTTCCCAGTCCCTTATCTTTAGATGAAGCCATACACATTTATCCAAGGTTTTCTCTTTACACAATTAAAAAGTGTGTATGCCAAACTGTTAGGAGCATTACAATTATATCTTAGGCAACATTAGGCCAAGGCTAGCTGTATGACTCATCTGCCTGACATGATGATGATGATGATGATGACGACGACGACATGAACAAAATAAATCTTAAATATTTAATGTGGATCATTCCCATCTAGCTGATGCTCTGAATGAGTCAGTATGAGGGCCGATACAGATCAATGTGAGCCTACTTCTCACATGAATAATACACAAGAACCAGCTATTCTGTAATTTAACTCAATATTGGTTATTTTTAAGAGTAGTTTTTAAATGTGCACTTATTTTCTCTGCAGGTCTTACTCTGCTTAATAATCTGCGCGTCCAGTGTGAATCTGGATTTGGGTCTGGGGTTGTTGCCCACGTGATGCTGTCAGGCTGCGAGTCTGACAAGATGAACTGTGCGCTGTCGCTGCCATTAATCTGCAGGTGAGTGGTAGATCTAGTCAAAAATGAAATCTGTTTTATGACCTCTTTGTTAATTTTAAATGTATTTACTTATAATCATGTACACCTGACACCTGCTTTATTAAGCTCAGACCTGTACCAAATGATGTTGTTATTAATATCAATAGAAAAAAGCCTTCATTATGAATAGAAAATTCTACTTTTCCGCTTTTCATAATTTCCTTATTACATTTGTCAGAAACTTTACCATGCAATTTATTGAATGGTTTTATATTTACTTACGCCATTGCTGAATGGATCCAGAATAATTTCTGTAAGTGACCATGTGTATGTTTTTACTCCGACAGCAACAAGTCCCTGTTGAAGAAGCTTCTCCTGGACTCCGGGGGGCTGCTCTTAGCTCTGCAGCCCCTTGGTTGCGATGAGGTTGATGTGAAGGAAGACCACCCCGCTGAATGTGGAAAGTTGCTTTCTGATTGGTTTAACACGTCACATTCAGGCCTGACTCCTCAGCTCCACTCGCTGTTGTCCTCCCTCCTGATTGGATGCCTGTCTACATTGACAGGTAGCATCAAAATGGAGCTTGGCAAGAAACATCTTAGTCTAATTACAACACACTCAGTCAGTAAAATTGACAAAGCGTCACCTCCTCCTTCGAAAAGGCCTCGTCTGACTGACACCTGTCCGTACGGAGTCTCAGACTTTGACCTCCTCTTGCTGCTGGATGACGGGACTCAGGTCCAGGCCAACAGGGAGGCCGTGGCCGGGGTGGAAGGGACAGAGGGGGTTGGCTCTGAATACTTTTGGGCTCTGTTGAGAGGCGGTTTTGGTGAAGCTCAGGGTAGTGTAGAAAAAGCCATCAGCATCAAAGATGTCAGCCAAGGTATGCTGCTACCAGTTCTGCATTATCTGCACGGATGTCGCCTTACCAAGGACACGGAAACAACAAGCGAAAGTGATGAAGGAGAGAAGAGGGGGCAGTGTCTGGTATTGGACAAGTTAGTTCTCGAAGGACTAGGGTTCTGCCAAAAAGAGCGGGAGGATCGCTCATCAGAAGACTTGGATTTCCAGAAAACAGCTTTAGGTGAGGTGATGATTGGGGCGTGCAGATTTTTAGTGACTGAGCTACAGAGAGAGTTAGAAGATCTCTGCGTGTCTCTTCTCCTGTCCTGCTCCACAAAGGTTGCTTATCGAGCTGCATCAGCTCCAACAGTTGACACGGTTGAAAAGGCTGCATCTAAATCGGACCAAGACTGTCTCGAGTCTGCAGAGGAGAACCTGGCTAATCGTACATCTGAGTTAGAGTTGACGGGTTTTGAGGTTCAAACTGAAAATGTACCAGGGCAGAAACAAAACAGTTCCTTGCTCAAGACGGACAAGAATATAACCTCTCGTGCTTTGGACCACAAGACAATCAATGGCTTCATTCGAGTTTCAAAATCAAGCTGTGTGTCAGGGGTAGACAAATCACGTGATCCAGAAAAGTTGAGGCTAAGACCAAAGAACTTGAAAGGTTCAGCACAGCGTCTAAAATCATCAGCTCAGGACTCAATGTCTTCCTCAGCAGCGAGTGCTGAGGGTGGGTCCGTGGCTGCCCTCCTCCCCCAGGTGTACTGGTTCTCTCAGCGCTACAGCTACCCTGCCCTGGGTCAGGCCTGCCTGTCTCTGCTGCTGGGCTGTCAGGACTCCCCTCGGCCCCTCTTGTCCTCCTCTCTAGCTGGGGATTGCCTTCGCAGACTTGCCAGAGAGGCTGACTGTATAGAGACTCTGAAACAGGGTCTGCTAAGTCTGGCTGCAGTGTCTCTGAGCTGAGCGAGGAGGAAATAATATGGCGAGTGTTTGGTGGCATGAATTCAGAGGGCACAGATTAATTGAGTCGAATTTAGGGCTTGTTATAAGCTTCTAGAAAAATTGCCATTGTACTCAATTCATCAAATGTCTTTAACTTTAAAGTGCAGGTTACAGCAACAGCATGATTACATGAGAACCTGCTGTATGAATTCCTTGAGTACTAACAGGACTGATTTATTTTCATAAACTCGAAGCATACATTTCATTTGAGTTTTGATCTGTAATGTGTGACAGCATGACAAAATTGTATTATCATTTCTTTCTATTGTGATTTTTCTTTCTTTTTTTTGGGTAAAAAATCTGTAATTTATTTGAGAAATGTCATTTAGCTGGAAGTACTGGAATTATCAGGGTTGGTCTAGAAACCAGTTGTTTATTTTGTACATAGAGATAATTTGAATTAGCAAGTATACGGTTTATAGATTCCAACTGTCCCATATAAATTTATGCCACTAAATATATTGTTGGAACATCATTCTGCTTTCCGTTTCTTGTTTTTTCAGTTTGACTATTCAGAATCCGACTGCGTGGCTTATGACAATTTCAATATTGTTTAAATCACACAACAGAGTAAAACAGCTATTTGTTTAACTATTATTCAATTGGTTTGAATATGAATGACTTTGATTATCTCCTACTGTTGCACTAATTTATTGCTACCAATATTAGCTGCAAACAATGTTAAAGGTCCCATGTTTTGGCCATTTCTACTGATCATAATTCCATTGTTGAGGTCTACTAGAATAGATTTACATTGTTCAATGTTCCAAAATCACATTGGTTTCTCATACAGCTTCTCTGTATAGTATGTGTATTCACTCTCTGTCCTACACGTCTTGTTGGAGCTCCTGCCCCCCCCCCCTCCCTGTGAGCCCAGTGTGCTCTGATTGGTCAGCTCGCCCACTCTGTTCTGATGAGTCCACCACCGTTACAGCAGAACATCAGTGATTATGTGTTACAATGGCGTTTGTTAGCAACCAGAAAATAACACCAGTAATGACAAACAGATGAGAATGCTGTGTGGGGTCTGGGTGCCGTGTTGGCGGGACGTTGCAGCGCTCGCTGCTCCGCCCTTTGAGGCTCGCGGAGAGTGTGACTGTGAGCTATATTACTGGTGTTGTTTCCTGGTTGCTGCGTTGAGACAGCGAGACACCGTGAAACTCAGCCTGAACTCAGCCTGAACACACACACACACACACACACACTCACAGCCGAAGTAAAAACAATAAGTGTGGCTTGATATTGAGTAAGAAAAAGGTTGATAAACGCTGTGAGAATGGGTCTGCGGAGAGCATTTCTCCACGATCCCAACTCATCTATTACCAACGTTCAGGGAGCTCTATGCAAGTCGTGCTTTCACACCGGAGTACCAGGAATAGTCCCGACAGTTCCTGGGATTTTGCGTTCACACCAAAAAGATCTGGAACTAGAACTTTTTTTCGGGAACCTTTTCACCCCTTTTCAGTCCCTGGCTGCTAGAGAGGTGGTACTTTCCTGGGGAGGAAAAGGTTCCTATTTCTGATTGGCTGGGCGAATTGCAAACCACGCCCCGTAAAACTCCGAACTGTTTCGTGAAGCCTTTAGCATTATTAGCATTAGCCCAGCGCACCAACAGAGAGAGACTAACTTATGGCAACACAAAATAAAACGTGGGAGCTGTGGAATGATGAGAAGGTGTCGGCGCTTCTGGTGATTTACCCGGGACTTCGGGTGGCAGTATACGCCGTGAAGTTGTTTGCGGCCTGCCAGTAAACCCAAAGCAGAAGAAGAAGAAGTGACGTCAGCAGCTTCATTTGCGTAATCCTCCCTCAGGGACTTATTCCAGTGTGAACGAGATCTACTAGATAGTTCCGGAACTAAAGAGTTCCGGGAAACTATTCCTGGGAAAAGTACTTTGTATGAAAGCGCCTAATGGGACTCCCTGATAGTTGAAAATTGATGCTAAAGGGCCCCCACTGCATTTGATAGTGACGCCAAGGGATCCTGACATAACGTCACTATAGTACGAGTTAGGAGTGAGAATGTGTTGGTGTGAGGAGCCGTTACGTCACTATACCCAGGAAGAAAAAAATGGAAAAAGAAAAATCTCCAACGAGGCATTCTGGGGCAGCATAGACAAGTCTTATCTGTTTTAGAGATTTATCCGCTACAGGGTGTACTTTGAGGGTTTGTGACTTTGCAGACCGTTTACATGCATACAAAGCTACATAACACACAATGGGACGGGTAATAACCAGAAAAGCAAGACATGGGACCTTTTAAGCTAAGAAAATGTACAATCAGGCTTAAATTCAACTGTGGTGTTTGCTGGAATTAAAATTTCAATAATGGAAAAGCTGTGAGTAAGGAAACGTCTGCTTTGTGCGACTCTAATTTACACAATGTATAATACCATAGGCTGCATGGTGACAAGCCCCCCCAACTCCAAGGCAGTCAATCTGGGGAGAAACTCTGATATGGCTGTCAGCAGTGGCTCAGTCAGTAGAGGCTTGGACTGTGAGCCGTAGGGTCGCCGGTTCAAGTCCACGACCAGACCTAAATATGGAGTGTGGGCTGCTACTGGGACCTCTACTTGGAGAGACCTCCTGCTCTGCCGTGGTGCCCTTGAGCAAGGCACCGGACAACCCCCTTCCCCCCCTCACTCCCATTGCTGTACAATAGCTGCCCACTGCTCCTACTACTAGGATGGGTAAAAAGCAGAGAACAAATGTCACTGTGTGTACTGTGTGCTCTGCATGTGTGACCATTAAAGAGGGTTTCATCCCTCCCATTCTATCTATCTATCTAGCCAATTTCACGAATGTTGCTCTAAGACTCAAGCTCATTGATTCATATTGAAGATGTTAATCTTTAAACTTAGGTAATGAATCTATCATTTCAAATAGCTGTGCATTGTAGTTTTTACCAGAAGTAAATGTTAAGGAGACTATATTCAGCTTTTGAAAAATGTACTTTGTGCTGCTGTGAATACATGGACTGACAGGAGTGTGTGTGTGTGTGTGTGTGTGTGTGTGTGTGTGTGTGTGTGTGTGTGTGTGTGTGTGTGTGTGTGTGTGTGTGTGTGTGTGTGTGTGTGTGTGTGTGTGTGTGTGTGTGTGTGTGTGTGTGTGTGTGTGTGTGTGTGTGTGTGTGTGTGTGTGTGTGTGTGTGTGTGTGTGTGTGTGTGTGTGTGTGTGTGTGTGTGGCAATTTCTTATGTTACCTTATATGCTAAAACCAAATGCTTCTAAAAGCATTGTCTAACACAGGGGTTCTCAAAGTTTTGATGAGTGAGGGCCAATTTAGGTACCCAATATTGGATTGAGGGCCGCCCAAGAAAAAACGGAACACAAAATAATTCAAAAACAAATTATTTCTTTATTGTACTAACCAATTACCGCAACTCGCGAGATGCCTAGTTGCCATGCAACTAGTAGTCTAGCAAACTTTCCACAAGCTGTCATTCATAATTTAGGAATGACAACCCAGGGGGCGCAGTTTTACCATTCTTAAATTCCATTCTAATTCTTACTAGATACAACCATGGAGGATTAAAATATAACGCATGCATTTCAGCGTGTCACATTAACTATCGCGGGCCGCCAGAAACATTTCCGAGGGCCGCCATTGGCCCGCGGGCCACACTTTGAGAATCCCTGGTCTAACACCACTGTACCATTTCTTGATATGTGCTGTTTTCTCTGCATACTCTAATGAGGGTTATTATTCTCAAATGCTTCAAGGCCACAGAGCTGATTTGGCAGACTATGTTGAAACTACTCCTCTTCACACAAAGTTTGAACTTCCATATGCTGATAACCGTTATACTTTCTGCAGTTCAAGGACACAGGTGTCTAATAGCAATATGAGACATCCGTGTGAAAGCAGATTTCTGAGGCGTTCCACCATGCTACACAAAACTATCTTGTATATAAGCTTTGCTATTCTGTGACTATTGCGCACACTCCTGCAGACTATCCTATACTCTGTGAGACCTGTGCCTTTGAAGCTTCAAATAAATAACCAACAAGACAACGCTGTTTGCTTACACCAGTTTATTATTGATTACTCTCATTGTATATCTTTACAGTATTGACGAGTTTAAAATAAACACGACAGTGTGTGTGTGTGTGGGGGTGGGTTAGTGTGTGTGTGTGTGTGTGTGTCAAAAGGGGGCAGCGATGCAGCTCCTTGTTATGAGGGGCCGTGTAGGCCAAAATTCAAACTCACCTCTCACACACACACACTACTGAAAACATCTGGCCTTGCACACACACTACTGAAATACTCTCACGTTCACTACTGAACACCTCCCACACACACTACTGAAAACATCTGGCCTTGCACACACACTACTGAAATAATCTCACATTCACTACTGAACACCTCACACACACACTACTGAAAATTAAGCCTCACACACACACTATTGAAATCCTCTCACATTCACTACTGAACACCTCACACACACACTACTGAAAACATCTGGCCTTGCACACATACTACTGAAATACTCTCACATTCACTACTGAACACCTCACACACACACACTACTGAAAACATCTGGCCTTGCACACATACTACTGAAATACTCTCACATTCACTACTGAACACCTCACACACACACTACTGGAAATTAACCTCACACACACACACTCCTGAAAAACATTTTACTGAAAGGTTCTCAGTAGGGAATGTGCATGTGTTTCACCTATGTGTGTGTGAGGGGATTCTTGCTGTAACGGAAGTCATTCTAATGTAACGGAAGTCATTCTAATGTAACGGAAGTCATCTGCTAGTGGGTCTCTTTGCTAGCCCCGTTAGCTTCATTAGCTCCAGGCTGCTACTCGGACGTGTTTGTTGTGTTGATGCCTGGTGGAGTATTCTTCATTGAAATATCGCACTTATCTTATGGCTCTGCGGTTCAAACAGACCGTCCATGAATGCAGTTTATTCGGTAAGTGAAATTCAAGCACTTTATTTCTTACTTGTCTTTTTATTCAGCTAACAAGCGAGACGAAGCTACATCTGTGCTAACGATGCTATCCGTAGCATACAAGTTAAAACATAATAGAGAAGTGTAAAACATTAAGAAGGATTATACTGTAAAACATAAGGCTTCTCGGTGAGGTTGGTAAAATAAGGTCATGCTTGTACATTAGTTAGTTTGCTAGTTAGGTAACTATGCATTGTTATTTTAAAATAGCTATGCTCGACGATGCAGACAGCTAGCGTCACATTAGTGTTGAAGAGCAGAGTACGGTATGAGATTAACCCATAGATTAACCTCACTATAAGATCTGTGTATCTTAAAAATATGAATCTCACATTTCCAGTTGGTTCCAGAAATAACGTTAACGTAGATATTGCAATATGGTTTGTTGTTTGTTACTTAGCATTTTATTATCATTACACTGGAGAAACCGATTTATTGTGGCAGCAGAACGTGAACATGTAACTTAATGCCTGCATTTGAGGACGAAAAATAGCTCAGTCA